TTTCTGATGAGCAGCAGATGCCAATCGATCGTAACTTTTATCTCGTTTCACGAAGCCATATGATATGATTAGCACTTTACGCCCACTTCCCACTCTCCCCCCCTCCCCCCCACCACCACCACTACCATCACCATTCCCTGCGCGCCTCATCCTTCAAAAGGCTACAAGCAACACGAACTAAGGGCAAGATTTATCGCAGTCGTCCAAAGATGATTCTCGAAATCAGTTTTATAAATTCGTATTTAAACATTTCACTCAAAGTTTATGATAGGCTTTATTTGCTTTCCTGGCTTTCAGAAAACCACCTACAGCTTTCCCTTCCAAAACCTGACTAATGACGGGAAACACCATGTTAGTGTAAGTACTTAAGATGTTCACTCCAGAGTCAACCCTCCTGCAGTTTTAAGAAGTTTTACTGAAATATAACACGTCTGTTTCAGTTATAAGTTAACGTTGGAGCAGTTCGCTCGTTCGTCCGTTCATACTGCTTGTTATGCTGTAAAATATAAATCTAAATCTTTAAAAAAGTAGCACTAGCGCTAGCTTTTAAGTTTGTCATGGATAAATCCTTCCAGGGTGACTATTCAAAACAAAGCTATTGAGCAGTCCTTTCATGTGGTACTGTTTATTATGCTGTACAAGGTGGTTCTAACTTTTAAGTCTATGGATGAAACCCTACTGTGAGACCATTCAAATAAAAGCTATTGAGCAGTCCTTTCATGTGGTACTCTCTGTGGGCAGTGAGGAATCATCTCGAAACTTGCTAGTCTTGATTTTGTACTGGTGCTTGGTCGGGAAATTATTTTTTAAAACCGTTGTACCAAGTCACAGAACTTGCGAGCGTCAGCTAAAGATCGATGCATTTTTTTTTTTTTTTGAAATAATGAATGGTGGTTAATTTTACATTACCAGCTCTAAATTGGTTATAAAGGTCAACCATACTAATACAGGCAGACTCATTTGTTTGTGTTTCACATAGGTTTCCGCATTTGACAGCAGTGGGTGTGAACTATCACCTAGAGAGTGGCAAGAATTTTATGGTAAGATCATTAATTGTGCAAAAACATCGATCTTGCTAAGTACCATTAGCTAAGTGTTTCGAACAGTGAGATCGTTATAACAAAGAAGAGTTTTCCGGCAAAGTTTAACTTCTGTGGAATCCATTTTATTTTGAAAAGTCATCTTAGATCTTTTCTATACATTTCGTGATAAAAAATAAAGCTATAAAAGAACGACGTTTCGACCGATCAACGTACAGCGTTAGTTTTTATCGCGAAATCAATTTCAAAGAACTTATTGATTCGAATATCTATACAGCTCGTATTATCCCGACCACCGTCCCGATCACAGTCCCGACGACTGTCCCGACTACGGTCCCGACGACTGTCCCGACCGTGCTGAGTGCCACAGGAAGAGGTATGTATTTTTATATTTCGTGAAAAAATGACGTAAAAATCTGGTGAAAAAAATTCTTATGACTTGAATGACGGAACGAAGTGAGCCACTAACTTGTAAAGGGAAAGTGCATGCTCCACTTTGATTTTCTCCGAAGCTTTCGTCTCCACTATGGAGTTCCCACAGCCTGGTGCCCAAGCTTGCGCGTTTTCTACCCTCTTACTCGTACTGTTGCCAAGGCCATATACAGGCATTTCTCTGTAAGAGCAAGTCAAACTTCATCTGCTAATGTACAGAAA